AATTTTGAATTTATCTAAAATATCTGATGGTAACGGATCATCCCACTTGATTTTTGCTTCCCAGGTTTTTTGTAGAAGAATCTTTGGTAAGAGTGTTACTGGACTAGTGAAACCTATCGGATCAAATACACGTTGCGCAGCAGACAAAAGGCCTCTTTTTGTAAATGGAATCTTGGGTATTTGTTCAAGAAATGAAACATCACAACAGAGTACATCTTGCTCAAAATTCCATACCAATCCTAGAACTGATACTGTACTTCCTTTACAAGGCATCTCACTTTCGTCTTCTTCAAAGAACCTCTCAGCATTATATACCCATCCTCTCAAATCAAATCCACCTGAATTCAAGCATGTTCTAGACTCATTCACAAACTCTTTCAACTCTTGTATACTATCAACACTCGTTACACAATTATCTACGTAAAATGACTCTCTTAGCTTGTTAATTGTCTCTGGATAATTACCATAAGTTTGGTCCAAATGATATATGATAGTAGCTCCGAGCAAAAATGGACTTGAGGAAACTCCAAATACCACCCTCGTATGTCTATAGATTTTAATTTCATTCATAGATGCATCTCTCCACCATAAAAATCTTAATACATCTCTGTCTTTTTCGGCTACACGAATCATAAGAAAAGCTTTTTTAATATCGGAAATTACACCTATCAAACCTAATCTAAATTTAACTAAAATCTCAGGTATCAACTCAATTAGATTAGGTCCTTTTTCTAAACTATTATTTAGTGAATTTCCGTTACTATCTTTAGCCGAAGCATCAAATACCGGTCTTAGTTTTGTAGTAATACTATACTCTTTAATGACGGCGTGATGAGGAATATAGTGTACTGTATTTTCTGAGCTTAGGTTTTTCACTTCCTCAATAATACCTAATTTTTCCCACTCTAGGAATACTTTATCATAAATATCATATTTATTTAAAATTTTAAGTTTTTTCGTGGTTGAAACAAGTCTACATTCCGCTTGTTGTCGGTTATTTTCTAGTCGTTTACAATCATTTAACCATGGGAGACAAACTTCGTATTTACCATCCTCTATTCTTGTGATAGACTCATTAAATTTTTTAATTGTTTCTGCTTCAATTTCATCTTTACTTTTAATGGAAATTGGATCTCTTATACCAATTGTCTCCATGTTCCATAAATCAGAAATATCGAGAAAATTTAAGCAGCAAAGAGTTTCTAATTTTGAGGATATATTTTGTGATCCCATTACGGTCCAACCCAGACGGGTCTCAATCGCAGTAAGATTGCCTATAGGTTTCAGTGTCCCTGTTATTAATCTGCCATATATGTCTGCTCCCAATAACAAGCTAATATCTAAACTTTTCAACTGAGTGTCAGAAATGTAGATATTTTCCATTTGCAATTTTCTTAGGATATCATTATTTTCCAAGCGTGGAATAAAATTGCAAATTTTGTTTTGTTCTAAAGCATAACTTTCAGTCTCAAACGTCTCATCTAAATTTTGAATTTTAACTTTATATAGACTGTGTAATTTTGGGACAAGTTGGGTGCCTCCGAATAAGCTTTGAACAATTTGTTCATCTCGAATCTTAGGTAGCCCCAAATTTTTTGCACAACTAGAGAGAATATACGATCTTTGAGATGCAGAATCAAGAATTGCCCTTACTACTTTTGACTCGCCTCTATGAACAATCTTTACTGCGATAGTTTGCATAAGTGTGCCACCAGGATTGCTAATTAAAACGCTCTCTTCATTTTGTTTATTTTCAGTTTTTTCTTTAAAGTTATTTTCTTTATGACATACTTCTGGGCAAAGTATAGGATAGTGTTTTTTGCCACAGAGGACACATTTGATAAATGTTCTACAGTTTTTTATGCTGTGAAATGGTTTTAAACAGCCGAAACAAACTTTTTTCTGTAAAACAATCTCTTTTCTTTTACCAAGTGTCATACTTTGTGCTTTTATGCAATCCTGGCTGCTGTGCCATGTACAATTACAAAATATGCAAGTTTTCTTACCATATTTTTCCTTCAAATCTTTTGAACCAGTCAAAATTGTAGCTGCAGTTGGCATGTGTGGCTCACCTGACCTTGTCTGCTTAATATTTCCCATCTCACTCTTTGTTCCTTGTCCAGCTTTCAATGTTGTTATTTTTGTCTGCTCCTTTGTCCCAAAACTTTTTGCCAGATGGATTCTTTCTTCACTTTCTACTTCGGTTTTCAAGAAATCTAGTAAATTATTCAAAAGATTAGTATTTTTACAACTAAATTGATTTGTACTCCTGTGTCTTTCCCACACCCTCATGATATCTTCTGGCAAAGCAGACTCTACTAGTGGATACAACATTGCAGCGTATTTGTCTGTAGTCACCCCTAATGTTTCCAAATTCCGTAACTGTGACTCCAAACTATCATATAAAGAAGCAATTGTGATGTTAGATTTTCCCGTGGCTTGCTTAAGAACCAAATTTAATAGCTCGCGGACATATACTTCAATTAAAAACTCATCTCTACCAAATCTTGCTTTTAATTGTTCTAATGCTTTCTTATAATTTTCAACTGAAGGTGGATAACTTTCAATCAAGGCTCTAGCAGCAGAAATTTCTTCGGTCGATTGCAATAGATACTCAAACTTATATTCATTATCTATGCTTTCATCTTCATCTATCTTTCGAAATTGCCCCCAGAAACCTATCCATTTTTTGACATCCCCATCAAATTTTTTCAGGTTTAATTTAGGAAGGAGAAACTTATGCTTGGTACTCACATTTGATTCGGTCTGACCTTGACAACTTAAGAAATAATGGTCTACCTTATTCCTGTAATCTATAATCTTCTCCCTAAAAACCTCTACTGATACCATTTCAGCTTCCATCTCGGCTTCGCTGGATCCTTGGGTCACCATCATCCCCCAAATTTTATCATCAATATTGAAGATGCGGCTAATTTTATCCTCTAAAACCTTCAGGAGCTTTACGGTCGTTTCCCTGGAAATGCTGGGTCTTTTCAACTCTTCATCCAGCTGTTTACCAATTTCGTCAAAAAATTGTTGTAAAATTCTCCTCTCTATCTTCAATTTGTCTACGGTCGCCATATGTTCTTCTTAGGTACTGCAGGTTATATTATTTTGCCAAAGATAGGGGAAAATGAGGAGTAAATTATTCGACAAACTGTAATAAATTTATATTTTTGACAACAACCTAGGTATAACGTCAAACAAAGGTAAAAATAAAATTAAACTATAACAACCATTGTTGCATTTGTCGGACTTCTCTTTTTACTATTGTGATTTTCCAACAGTCATTACGATTTCTATCTTGCTGTATCTTTACCATGTTTAATAGAGTCCTGCATTGAGAAGTGGAGTTAATTATTATCCAATTTAACCAGGACCTTCCCTCACAAATGTCTTGTCAGTTTCTTGAAAGTTTGTCGTGGTCAGTAATTATTTTTGCTAGAAATGCAATAAAATACAGAAGAAAGAGAAGATTGCATCGATCCCTTGAAAAATATAGATGAGGCGGCCAATCGGGCTACCTCAGTTGTTCCAATTTTACCATTAATATCAATGTAAATAACTAAAAATACAAACATTTTTGACGTTCGCTCTCAAAATTTGATGTTTCATTTTTAACATTAGTGCTATAAAGACTTTATGGCACTAGTGCGATAAAGTAACATTTTTAATGCTACGGGGGGTGTTAAAAATTGCATTTTTGACACGTTTGTAGAAAAAGTTTTTTTTTTTTTTTTAAAGATAAAAATCAAAATGACATTAAGTTGGCAATGCAATGTAAAATTGTCAATGCTTTCAAATTTTTTATGTAGAAAAGGCTTGTGTTGCCAACATAGTTATTGAATTTTTGACTTGGGGAATAATTATCTTTAAAAAAAAACATACTTTAACTTTCCCCAGAAAAGTGTGCAAAATTTGAAAATAGGCATGCGAAATTGTGCAAATTTAGGTGAACCAGTTTTAGACAAACAAAAGGGAACGGTCAAATTTGTCCCTAGTTTAAAAAAATGCTCTAGTTTTCGTTGTGTTGTGTGCAAAATTATTATGGTTTAGGTATTTATTTTTGAAATTTGTTTAATACAGGCGGAAACTTGACCGACCCCAAAATTTACTTGTTGGTAAATAAACCGATCTACTGGAAAATAAATAAATAATTCATAATTCGAAATTAAACATAAATTTCTAAGTGGCAAATTTGCCAAATATACTGAAAAAAAAACCTAAAGAAAATGATAGAATAGCATCCATCTATGATATTCGTTGGTAAATTATCAAATATGTTAGAAAATATATGCTTAACTTCCTAATTCCTTTTGGCACGCGTCTGTCTCCTCATGCACGCAAAGCAAATATTTCACTTTAATAACTTCATTCAGAGAAGCAGACACGGAAGCTGGCTCGCTGGCTGGACGCTGAATCAACAGCACTCTGACAACTCGGCAACAGTGGGCAATAGACTCGAGCCAGCGTCCACACCAGCAAAAGCCGGCGTCCATCGAGGTATCAAAAATCAGAATACGGACGAGACTTCTAGAGACGTTAGTCTATAATATTCTTTGGTAATAGTGATATTTTTATACCATATGAGAAACGGGAATTCTTTTCAAAAAAACTACACAACGGCGAAAGTCTTTTGTTTTTTATTGAAACGATTTTTTTCGTGAGATTATTGCACAAGATTATTGGATTTTACCGGAAAAATATTTCGATTGGCTGTTTTTTTTTTCTTCTAAAAATAGGGAACATCAAATAATATGCCCCTGTGTTAAATGTTCAAATGTCAAGCCAATAGTTGTTTACTTATCTAGAAAACATAACATGTACCTACCTAATGTACTCACATAGAACAATAAATTTTTGCTAAGGATTTATGGACAGTATATAATGTACAGTGCTTTTCAACCTACCAGATTGAACTAGAAATATAAAAATAATATACTTCTGAACTTTTTGAAGTGTTTCTTTTGTTCAAATTCCCGCAGTATTGAAATTTAAAATCACTCCAAGATATAAAACAGCCAATAAATCGTATTGAAAATTAAAAAAGTAACAGGAAAAACAATTCTCGAATATTTATCGATCACATTGACATCTTTGATTTTCGGCATGGAAGCTTTCAGGACCAAAGCACCCTTACGAATGGCGTGCAGGACTTTCGGTTTATGTACTGGATTACCTGAAACAACAGGAATAAATCACGATCAGGAATGGTTACTCCAGAAAAATATACATAAGAATCAAGATTTCAAGATTATCATACCTAAATAAATTAGATACTCTTACCTCTAAACCTCAAACCAGGATTCTGCCTGCAAGTGTACATATAGCCCGAAGACCTGCTATACCGAAAACTCGGTGGAAAACTGCTACCTCCATCCTCCTGCGAGCTGCTGAGTTTCATGGATAATTTTCGGTTTCTTATTGATGGCAACGGGCTCATCCTGATATCCTGCAGCTCAATTATGTCTTCATTTTTAAATGAGTGTTTTTGGGCTTGGTTGCAAGAGGAGATTGTTGTTGCAGTTTTAGAACCTAAATTTTTATTTTTCAGTTAAAAATCACAAACTTTGATGGCGGTCACCTTACCAGATTTATTTTCCTCCTGCTCCTTGGCTTTTTTGCTCTTTTTTTTGGCCCTCGCGCCCCAATAAGTATAATTCACGGCCGCATATTCCAACAGGGCAGCAAAAACAAACACGAAACACATTACCAGATAAATGTCAATGGCTTTGACGTAGCTGATACGTGGCAATGAGCTCCTTACTCCGGTACTGATTGTAGTCATTGTCAATACAGTGGTAATGCCTATAAAAAGCAGAAATTTACTATACCTAAATTGCAACTTTGGAAGTTTCTTTTGGACAATGAGAGATAGAAATTTCGAAGGCGGAAATTGGTGGCAGTTTGGTTGAGAAATCAATTTTTTCAGCTATACCGGTAATCTGAGCCCAATGGGCTAGCGATAGTGCAAATTAATGGGAACCTGTTGCAAACAAGAAATCACTCTAATTAATTAGTCATTCGTTTGAGAAAAATTAAGGCCCTTCCATCAAAAATTTTTCATATTTATCTCAAACGTAGTGTAATATTCGGAGAAAATAGACCCATAAATCACAATGTCTTTACTGTAAAAATTTAATAAATGTTAAATAATCAAAAACAGAATTTTCGGTATCTCCAAATCAGTATCAATAAATTGAAAAGGGAACAAATTAACGTTCAATATTATATTAGGTGTTTCGTCATCAAGCCTGTGTCATCTCCTAAATCAATGAACTTAAAAGAGCGAGGCCAAGTAATTATAAATGATTTATGGCATTCTTGAACCAATAATGTTTTGACCTCGATAAATTAGGGTATTGCGACATAATTATTTGATTCTTTTAAACTAAGAATGATAAAAATTTCAAGGAAATTGCATCATTATTTTTAATAATATTTAGGTCGGCCAATGGAATTCGGATTGCTAGGCAAACGAACGCCTATTGACGATTTGGGGGATAATTAATAATACTTTGCGGGGGGATCGATTTAATATAAATACCGCGGTTTTGAGAAGTGGAAGGAAGTTGTCAGTTGAGAAATGAGTTCGCAGTCCTGTCCAGTTTAGGTTAAAATCTACAGTACCTAAAGTGTCAGTCCGGAAAGTTTCTTGTATTGCCTCGGTAACAGTCTTTGAAAAAGTAGCGGAAATATTTTGAAAGAAAGAACAATTAAATTCGTCAACATTTATGTGCGTGCTAGCTAAAAATTTGGTGTAAATAATTAATTAATTTTACGTGTGCAAAGTAAAATGTAAGTACTTTAGTGTATAATAATTTTCTGACTTTTATTAATGATTCTGAATGATAAGAAGTGAATTAACAATGGTTTTGAGAAGTGGAAGGAAGTTGTCAGTTGAGAGATGAGTTCGCAGTCCTGTCCAATTTAGGTTAAAATCTACAGTACCTAAAGTGTCAGTCCGGAAAGTTTCTTGTATTGCCTCGGTAACAGTCTTTGAAAAAGTAGCGGAAATATTTTGAAAGAAAGAACAATTAAATTCGTCAACATTTATGTGCGTGCTAGCTAAAAATTTTGAGTAATTAATTAAGTAATTTTACATGTGCAAAGTAAAATGTAAGTACTTTAGTGTATAATAATTTTCTGACTTTTATTAATGATTCTGAATGATAAGAAATGAATTAACAATGACTTTTAATGCCTAAAAGCTTGAGTGATTTTTACTAGAAAAACTTTTGACTTTATAATTAACTGTGAAATTTATTTGCATAAATATCAATAACTCGAGTGTTTTGAAAATGGAACATTATTGCATAACTTTAATTGCCTTCAGATATAATGACATTCTAATTTAATTGTGCAAAGAAAATATGAAGGGAATTTATAATGCATTCAACATAACATACTAAGTATTTGTTCTGATTAAATAAACTATCAAATGGAATAGGAAATTTTGAAAAGAAACTTGATGTTCATGATATAGAATTGTCTTAAAATATTGGAAAGTTGTTGTTCATGAACTTTTGAAATAGGGATTTTATTTTTCAAGTAGAAATTATTGTAAGGTTTTAAAAGAATAAGTTAGTAATACCTATATTAATAGACAAATAGGTAATTAGTTTGGGGTTTTTCATAAGCAGGTTCAGTAAAAGTCTTAAAGAATTTATATAATTAAGTGAAGGGTAGTTTATTAGGAATGAATCGGAAGTATTGAAATGAGTTAACTCATAAGTTATGAGAAATAGTAGGAATGGGGCGTTTCTTTATAGTAGGATAAACGTAGCTGCATAACATAGGTGGGGGTGCAACAAATTAGCAACAAGCTGATTTCAGCGGAATTGTTTAGTAACCGACCTCCTATTTAACCTCCCAAAAGTCCCATTCAGTCCTAGGGGTGGAAGGTTGCAAAAAAATGGCTGCCATATTGGATTTTTTGTTTTTTTTTAAATATCTCAGTTTCTATTAGTTTTTTCAAGAAAACTCAGGAAACCTTTTTTGTGGAGAATTTGATTCTCTATAAAAAGTGTTTCTACGTTTTTTTTGTAACATGAAGGATAACAGAGATATTGTTTTTTTTAGAATTTGATTTATAAATTTTTCACTTTTGTTGAAGATCCAAAAAAGTGATCCACCAAAGTAAGTAGTATATTCGCTCCGTATAAATTGCAAGTTTTTAGGGTCTCTATTGGTCATATTGATCGTGTGTGGAGTCATTTTGTTTGTGAAATTTTGATCTTTTGAACCTTGTAAATTTTTTTCTAGACTTCATTCTTGGTGAGCCAACAAATCCAGTTTAATTACTGGGATTCAAATAGGAATAGAAAAAAAAGGTAAGTAAATTGTATTACTTATCAGCAGCACAAAAATTTGCAACCTCATTGGTCGGCCAGTTATCCACTAACCAATAGAATAATAGAATAATAAATTTATCTTGCAGATAGTTACCAGCAAGTTTATGTGAAGATGAATAAACCGGGCCTAAGCCAAATAAACATTCTGTATTAAATTTTATTCCTACCATAATCAATCTTGATATGGATCTACCTGTGATAAGGCCTGCTTCCAAAAGGAAGACAAATATTAGCTTTTTGGCCATGTGACATTTGTCGCAAGGTTCTATGCAGAAATTGCTCTGGAGTAAGGAGCTCTGAGATTCGAGTTCTCATAGTGAAAGTACGCTGCCTGAGATATTTTTGTCCAAGTTGTATGGACTGCTGCTTCCAAGCACTGCCGGAGTTGAGCTCAAGACTTCACGCATTCGAAGCAGATATGGAAAAGCTCAAAACCAACCAAAGAGTTGTGCTATTCAATCAGAATTGTGTGTTATCGAGGATGATGTAGCAAAATTAGATAGAGGGTTTTCTCCTATTCCTGCCAATAGTTCTATTCCTTCCATATCTAGGAGGAGCTCCGGAACAGCTCTAGGGCTTCACGCGCTTATTCCTTTCGAAAAGTGTTTGGTGCACCACGCATCTGTTTATCTGCAAATCGGGGACGACTGAACACCGTAGCGAGTAGCTCGAGTGTTTCAAACTCTTGAAAGGAGTACAACTATTGGCTAGCTCACTATAGATGGTATTAAAAACGGAATGGGCTGGAAGGCACCTGCAAAGCCATTCTGGATTCTAATAAGGAACTTGTTGCATTCATGTCCAAGTCCTATACACGCCTGGCAAGTAAACATCTTGCATATCAATTTTAATGCGATAGAATGAAATATCTAAACAAAGTCTAAGGTTGAATAGAGAACGAAAATGATTTCCTCTGTTCCACCTCTAGCATTCCCAGCGCTTTTTACTGGAGGTGGAACAGGGGAAATCGTTTTCGTTCTCTATTCAACCTTAGACTTTTTCTAAACATTTCGAAAGGGATAAAAGTAAAGAAATGTTTGAAATATTTACTATAAAAAGCTCTGTATCTCCGTTATCCTTTATGTTACAAAAAAAAAGTACAGACACTTTTTATAGAGAATTAAATTCTTCACAAAAAAGGTTTTTTGAGTTTTCTTGAAAAAACTAATAGAAACTGAGATATTTGAAAAAAACAAAAAAATCCAAGATGGCGGCCATTTTTTGCAACCTTCCACCCCTAAGACTGAATGAGACTTTTAGGAGGTTAAATAAGAGGTCACTTACTAAACATTCCCGCTGGAATCAGCTTGTTGCTAATTTGACCCCCCAGATTGACTCAGTTATTATTAGTAGGGATATTTCAGTGGTCCGTAATAATAACAATTTTAGAACGGATGTAAAGTAATTGATTTTATAGAAATAAATGAGGCTGTCAGAATTGGAAGATATTTGGCTGATTAAAAATTTTTGGTCTTATGTATAATAAAATATAATTTAGTACACCTCAATAGTTTGTTTCTCTCTCTTGCAAATAGACCCTTCCACAGATTTAGGTAGCAGCTCCAAGTAAATAAACACCATCAATATACCGCTCGCCATTTACCATCTAACTAATCACATAGAGTACTTGGGGCGTTTTGCTACAGTAGACTTATAACTGAATATCACTCACCTAAAGCCACTCTGGCACTGGTAGCTTCGTGATTGATCCAAAAAGACACCCACGACAGCATCACAATCAAAATGCTTGGAAGATAAGTTTGGAAAATGAAATAGCCTATGTTCCTTTGCAGTTTGAAGGACAAGGACAGCCTCTGGTAAATACCTGAAATTTGAAGTCTTGAGCCAATCTGATTGGTTTAAAAACTTCTGATGGAATTACCTGTCGCCAGTTTTTCTTTTCTGTCGTTCGTTTCGTAGCCTATAATTGTGAATTGTGGCAACTCTGCTTCTTCGACACCTCTCACTGGCCTGTTTTTCCAGTACATTACCACGTCCATGACTGTATATCCATCTAAAACAAATAAAAATAATAAGTGAGTAGGTACCTAGTTGGTATAGTGAGTAAGTAAGTTTTTAATGGCTGGAAAGTTGCGGCATACGAGACTCTCTGCAAAATAACCATTAATGTATAATAATATAGGTTTAGATAATTTCGAGAAATTCGATTTTTTATTAATTGGTGAATTTAATACTTACAGCTCTCGATTTCTACCGTACAATTTTGCGAATCCAACGGATAATAATGAAGATCCATCATGCAGGCCAGCGTTGTGGTAAATCGCATTCCATATGTAATCGATCCGTCGCCTTTTAGACGTACCAATTTGTTTCTTTCAGTTACGTCATGAAGAAAACTGAAACCAAATATCACATTGGTAAATATTAATTTTTGTCGGACTTAAATAGTATATTACAATCCGAGACCTTATATAGTTTATCGAGACGCTTAGCGTCGAGATAAACTAAACCTCGAGACAGCAATGAGGTTTTCTGTCGAGGTTTGTATACAATTTTATTTTCAACTTCAATTTTTTATTGTACAAACACCTTAATATCTTGTCGAAGAACTTTGATAGCCTTAGAAAAAATCAGCTTTCCCTTTTTTTGTCATCAATTCTGACAGTCTCAAAGATCGAAAAACAAGCAGAAAAATTGGGACAGAAACGCATTTTCTCGTCCATGGCAGGCATATATGGCCGACCTGAAAAAAATTTAAAAGTATGTACAGTAATGTGACATTTTCAAGATTTTAAAAAGCCTGTAATGTCAACATTATATGAAACTAAAATTAAATAACATACACTTATGACGTTTTCGATTGGTAGATCTAGTGCGGAACTAGTAGATTTTTTTCTATTTCTGTCTTCTTCTTCTACAGGTTGATCAAAAGGATGCAAATACACTAAGTGCGCGTAGAATCTACCAATCGGAAATGTCATTATTGAATTTGAGAACATTCTTTGTACCTGTTTTTGTCGTTAGCAAAAAATGTGTCCGGAACCCAAATTTTCTCAGCAAAATCTCCAGACAATGTCAGAACTTCCTCTCCAGTACTGAAAGCCAATCTTTCATCCTTCCAGTATTGATTTAAGTAAAGTGTTATCGTGTAATCCTGAAAGAAATTAATAGTTATTTGTATACCAAGGCCGCGAAATGCCGTTTAAGCATACGTAAAGAATAGTTATCTAGATAATCTGGAGGACGCTAGAAATATTCGCGGTTATGGTATACACACTATATTTTGTGCAACTATCAAAATTATGTAAAGTTACAGAAAAACTGTATGGATTTGACACATTTTGCACAGTGAGGCGGCCGATGAGGCAAGATAATCTCGAGGACCCTAAAAATATTCGCGGTCATGGTATACACATCATATTTTGTGCAACTATCAAAATTATGTGAAGTTACAGAGAAACAAATATGGAGATAATAAATATAAATAAAATAATAATAAAGAAAAAAATTCAATGAATAAAAGAACAGATACCTATTCAAGATTTAAGTTCCATATATTCATATATCTTAACAATTTAAAAAATAAACCCGTAATTACAACCTTTACCTCAACTATTAAAAACCAGAAATGAATGAAATGAATCTTAAAATTAAACATAGATAGCATACAAAATTTACCTAAACAAAATACTTTGTTTTAATAACAAAACATTTTTAAAATCTTTACATTTTTAATTTTATATTCCTTATACAAATTTTATATCTTATGCAGTTTCTATTTTAAATAATTCACTTACAAGTAAGTAATAACTTTGTAATTTTATTTTTTAACTTATATAATTTTAGCCCCGAAGAAGGTACGAAAAAGTACCGAAAGTTTGGTTCATAATAAAGAATTATTTGAGAAAAAAAAAATTGTTTGGCTGATTTACCCACTATCAAAGAAAAAACGTAAGTTTACAGAGAAACTGTATGGATTTGAAACATTTTGCAGGTGTGGCGGCCGCGAAATTGAATTTCGCGGACGGTTGCACAAAAAAATTTGACTTGACTAATCCATTTTCATTTACTCAATTAAAGTTTGATTTTTCCTGTTGGGATGTTAGTTCAATGATAGCCGCAAAGCCACAATAACTATGTAGTCATTCCAGGTATTCTTTCGATGTGAACAAACTGATCGAAGCCAATTGAGATTTGTTTCAAAAAATTTTTCACGAATTTTCCAACAAATTATCGACTTCTTCCCGTAATGACTGTCCCAGACCTTACGTGAATGCAAAAACCATTCTGGACTATGCTAAATAGTCAACTCTATCACAAGAGCTTGGTGGTTAGCCCTGAAACAATTTATATGCGACGTTGCAATTTCTGGCATTTCATGTTTGGACTGGAATTAGCGCCACGTCACGCAGTGTTGCCAGAATTGAAGGATTTCCTTCAATATGAAGAGTTTTGATCTAAAATTTTGACTACTGAAGGATTGAAGGTTTTTGTCCGAATTTGAAGGATTTTGAGGCAAATTGTATATTTAGTAAATATTCCAATCAATTAATTAGGCATGAGAAAAAATACAGAACGCCAATTTTTGCTACGTCACTGTGTCAGTTAGTGTACTCTAACCCAAGGATAACTAGCCACTACTACTACAGAATAGCCTAATCTCATAAGACCTGTGTGGAACAAATTTGAAGCCCCTCACCACGCCAAAGTCGCCAAATCACCAATTGTGACGTGACCAGTATGTAATTCTTGACTTGAAGAAGGCTGTTTGCACCACAGGTTATGATTCGGCGGGCTTTTGCTTATGCATACTGTTTTACTCATTAATTAATATTCTAAGTGCCGGTACTTGACAGCTGTTAAACATTGACCAGGGGTTTGAATGTGCTCTAATCACATGATACTCACCTGGCCCATGCAAAACATTGACGACGTATCAAATTCGTTAATCGAGAGTAAAAGTATTGGCCTTAAAACAACTTTTCAAATCTTGTTTTCTAAGCAAACCTTGTAGTGTGTATTATCCTTGATAAACCGGTTCAGGATTTAATAGGTCTGTGTCTGCAGAAATCACAAACCAGTCAGAGTGAATTTCATTGGTTGAAACTAGTTTTCTGACTGTTTTCAACCAATGAAATTCGCTCTAACTGGTTTGTGATTTCTGCAGCAGGAAACAAGCCTAATATGTTCTGGACTGGTTCGGAATCGGTCCAGAATGTTATCCGCTAACAAAGCTCGGTAATAATAATGAAAAGATGAGTTACTTTGGGTTGGTTTATCAAGCGCTTCTCAGCGACATATTAACTTCGTTCCAACACAGCTGGAAACCCTATAATTTACTCTCGAATTTACCCAAGGATAATACACACTACACGAGGATTGCTTATCGGCCTATTTTTGGGATTCAAGATCATCTGGTGTAGCACCGTTGCTACGACATCAACTATGTCGGCAGCTATTTTCGCCAGCGGTCGCAATTTAGAATATTCAAGTAGAAGCCAGCGGAATTATAGCTTGTGGTGCAAACACCCTACGTTAAAGCGTGAAACAACATGCTGCTACGTCATCACCGGTACTTTGGCACTATTTCTCTTTCAACCCCCTGTAGATGCTTTAGGGTTGCGGTGCAAAATTTAATAATTATGGCGCAAAATGGGTGCAAAACTCAAGGAACAGTTTGTTCTATTATAAATTGAAATTTGTCGTGTCGGGGGGCCAACTTTTTCTCTTGCAACCCCTTGTAGCGGCTTAAAGGTTGCGGTGCAAAATTAAATATTTATGGTGCAAAATGGTGCAACATTCGGAGAACAATTTGTGCTATTATAAATTGAAATTTGGCGTGTGGCGTGGCCAGTGGCCAACTATGTCTCTTTCAACCCCCTGTATAGGCCTAACGGTAGCGGTGGAAAAATTTACTATTTATGGTGCAAAATGGTGCAAAAATCGGAGAACAATTTGTACCATTTTAAATTGAAATTTGGCGTGTGTGTGGGGGGGGGGGGCAATTATTTCACTTTCAAGCCCCTGTAGAGGCTTAAGGGTTGCGGTGCAAAATGGTGCAAAACTCGAAGAATAATTTGTGCTATCATAAACTGAAATTTGGCGTGTGGGGGGAGGGCAACTATTTCTTTTTTAACCCCCTGTAGAGGCTTAAGGGTTGCGGTGCAAAATTCAATATTTATGATGCAAAATGGTGCAAAACTCGGAGAACAATTTGTGCTATCATAAATTGAAATTTGGCGTGTGGGGGGGCAACTATTTCTCTTTCAACCCCCTGTAAAGGCCCAAGGGTTGCAGTGCAAAACTTAATATTTATGGTGCAAAATGGTGCAAAACTCGGTGAATAATTTGTGCTATTGTAAATTGAAATTTGGCGTGTGGGGGGGGGGCCATGGTTAATTTGGCACCCCCCCTCCCCAGTAATACTTCCATATAGTTTCTCTCCTGAGGGGGTGCAAATTTTTTTTCGGGTGGTGCAAAACGGTGCAAAATGGGTGCAAAAAAATGGTATAAGTTTTAATCGATTTGGAAATATGCGGGAGGGCTAACTTAACTGACCCCCAACTATCACTTATTGAAATTTTCTATAGATGTACCAAAAACCCTGTAACATTGGTTTGCTGTTCGATTTATATATCTTAATTTTTTTCAAGTCGTTGGTTTAATTTTTGTTGTTGTTTTATGGTATGAATTTGCCGCCCCTGGATCGTGCCGCCCATCTCGCCCCCCCCCCCTTAAGCCGGCCCTGCAATTGTTAGACATTTATAGTTCGATTTTTCGATGAGAGTATTGAGATCATTTTCTGTTATCTCTATTTCATGTCCTATTTTAAGCCGTGAACCACGACAATAAATTTATAAAAAAACTTGTATTTGCCGTTTCATTTTCAAAATTTTAAAGTATGAGTCAAATATGCGCTTATCGAAAATCCGACTATATAGCAGGTCTTTGATAGCAACTTCTTTTCTGCGTAAAAGGTGCAAAATATGCATGCGTGCTCCGTATCACATTGGGATCTGTCTTATGCGACCCACCAAAATCATAAACAAAGCCCCGAGTGATACAGAGTAGGGATGTGCGATGTTCATCGATTATTGAAAAACATCGATGTTTAATACCCGATGTTCCGATGTTTCGACATCGATGTTGAAATTTTAAAATATCGATGTTATCATCGATGTTGGCTGTAAAAATCGACAATAAGAAAAGGATTTAAAGATAACTTTTATTTTGAACCATATATGTAATTTCCACATTTCTCACTAGTTTGAAGGTTCGGAAATGTCACTTTACCTTTGTTTACTTTTAAAGCAGGCCGAAAGTGATGGTTCTCCTGTCACTTTCGGCCTGATAAATTGTTCTTTCACATCTAAACATAAATCCAGGTGCAATAATGTTTGTATTTAGAAGTAGGTATCACATGTGCTGCACATTGCAAATGTGTTTATATTGTTGAAATTTTATAAGATGTCAATGTCGGAGTGAGAGAGTGTCATTCGAAATTCCATTTTTGTCAATAATTAATAGTTCAAAATAAAATATTATACATATTTCGGTGGAAAGTTTTCACATATATTGTCTTGAGAATGGGTTGTATTATTTATTTATTTATTATTTATTATTATATTTCATTTTATTATTAAAAGTTTTTTAAAAATTGAAATTTTCTTGGTTTTCTCCATTTGAAGTATCGATGTTACCATCGATGTCCAACATCGACATCTGTGCTCGATGTCGCATCCCTAATACAGAGCATCTTCTAGACCGCGTGCTCTGTACTACACAGGGGTTTGGCTTTACGCGACCCGGTCGCATATTCATTTTCTGCCAACGTAATAGGACCTTCGGCTGCATTCGTGTTCGTTCGAGCACAGCGTAGGCAAATTATGATTGAAGTGGACTAACGTTGACAGTTTAGAGCCTGCCTGGCGTTCGGGAAAATATTCTCTAAATAAATTCAGTTGGAAAGTGGCAGTTATTGTTAGCTGTTGGTACGTTTTAATGCAAAATGCGATAACGAATGAAGAAATAAATTTATTGAAAGTTTGAAAATTAATCATTGTGTATATTCAAAGGCCCCAGAACTTTTTTGGTAGATTTGAGTTAGTTTCGGTTGGTTTGCGTTAGTTTGGGATATTTTTGGTTGGTTTGGGTTAATTTTGGTTGAAAAACCGCACTAGGCGCTGTTCCTTTCTATTTCCTTTTTTCAAGCAAGTACATGAAAAGTACCTACCTTATCC